AAGTCATTTGTTTGACTGACCGTACGGATGGTCCCATGCCCAAAACAGTTCCCTAGAATCAGGGCTAGCGGTCGATCTAGTTCGGTAGTTTACAAAACAAACAAACTACGGAACATAGTCAATGGTCTTACCCTGGAGCTTGTTCCCCTTGTTCAGATGAACAATGCAACCAAACAGTGCCCTTCTAACTTGTGTAGAACCGAACGCAGGCGACAATGGAAGTCCAGCGGTGTTCGGGAGTTTCTGTGTTTAGTTCCATTAGATTCATACCCAAACACCGCTGCCTGCGTTCATGCGAACAAGATGGCCGCTACCTCATGGTAGTCTATAGAAATTGCAGCCACCCAGACGAACACTTAGAACACTGAGGTGAAAATTGTTACAAAGTAGCAATTAGGCTTAACAAGCTCCAGGGTGGTCTCCGGTTCGTGCGGCTGTTTGGTTACCCAACCATATAGTCCAAATACACGAACTGAGACTTTTACATTATATTTCCTGGGATCCATAGTCTGTGGGCAGGTGGCTGGCAAGCACCTGGAAAGGGGAGTTTGTCACAGAGCAATACATTCCTTATCATCACATATGAACGTAGGAGTGACATGTCCACTGAGGAGACATGAATGGGGAGATATAGGTCAGAAAGTGGCAGTCCTTAAGCCTTTCAAGGATGTCACAGACAATTTAAGTCAAGCCACAGCAAGCCTTGGGCAGGTGATTCCATTATTCACTCTCTTAAAGGACTTAATGAATGCAGTACTAGAAAGCCATGAGAAGGACTGCAGCTAAATGTGAAACCATTCATTAGGAGGTTAACCCCTTCCCGACCGCGGACGTACCAGGTATGTCCGACAAAAAACAGCCCTTAAGGACCTCGGAAGTACCTGGTACATCCACGGCTATTTTGAGCGCTGGAAGCGTTCATGTAATACCCCCTACACTTCCGGGTTTGCCGTACGTGGTGCCCGGCAGTGTAGGGAGAGCATCTGAAGCCATCTGCAGGCTTCAGATGCTCTTACACTTAACAGTTAAAAAAATAAAGAAATAAAATAAAATAAATAAATAAATAATAAAAAAAATTTACCCTTCCCCTCCCTCCCCCCTTTCCCTCCCTCCCCCCTCTCCCCTTCCCCCTTCCCCCCCTCCCCCCTTCCCCATGTACTTACCGATCGCCGTGTTCCCCCACTCTCTGGACTGAGCCTCTCCAATTTAGGAACCCCAGGGGCCATGTGACAGCTCTAAAAGAGCAGTCACATGACCCCCATAGGTGTCCATTGTGCTGCCAGCAGGGGAACTGCCTGAACTGACAGGCAATCCCCCTGCTGGTGTAAAAGTTAAATGAAAGTAAAAAAAAAAAAATATATAGTTAATTAATTTTAAAAAAAGTATATATATGTATATATATATACACACATATATTATATCTATATATAATACGCCTTGACAATAAAGTATTTTGATATTGGAAATCCAGAAGTGCTGGCAATCGTTTGTTTCCTGTATCACAGGTATCACGGTATCATTGGCTGGAGGTAGGAGTGCAAAAGTTCCTATATTTTTTATATATAATACGTGTATATATATATTATATATGTATAAATGTATCTCATATATAACGTCATAACGACCGAGGACCAACTAGGTATGTCCAACAAAAAACGGTTGTTAAGGACGTCCGCGACAGGACGTCCGCAATAGAAGCCCTAGACCGACGATCTGCGTCGATCACAGTCGGGGAGGACTGCCAGAGACCCCAGCAGTCCCCCTACAGCAGCTGCTGGCCCTCCATGGCCATGGGATCACCATGATCACATCACTGCAATAGGACTCTAGGAGCTGCCAGCAGGAGGACTGTCTGAGCTGTCAGGCAGTCCCCCAGGCTGCTAAAAAAATAATAAAATAAATATATTATACATATACAGGTGGTCCTCATTTAGCGACCTACCTCTTACCACGGCTCGCACTTACGACCAGGCGTTAGTGCAAGCCATCATGGGAATTCCCTCCTCTGGTGCATATGAATATGTTCGGGAAAACTTCCCCGAACATAGACGAATGCACCAGAGCAGGGAATCCCTCAAATCTATGTTGGGGAAATTTCCCCAAACATAGACGAACGTACGAGAGCAGGGAATCACTCAAATTTATGTTCGGGGAAATTAGAGGGATTCCCTGCTCTGGTGCGTACGTCTATGTTCGGGGAAATGCACCAGAGCAGGGAATCCCTTAACTCCTCACTTAACGTCCGAGGGAACCCGGTCGATAAGTGTGGAGTGTCTATATTATATATGTGTAATATATTATAAAATAATTAAATAATTTTATAATATATTATACATAAATAATGCATCTATATGATTTAATTATAAGTGTACTTTGATATGTATCTCAAAATACACTTATAATGAAATTATATAGATGCATTATATATGTATACTATATTATAAAATGATTTAATTATTTTATAATATATTACACATATAGACATTCCTCACTTATCGACCGGGTTCCCTTCCTATGGTCGTAGTAATATATTATACATATTGTGACAAACTTACTTTCCTGTGTGTGTTTGTCCAGGATCTTTTGGCAACCGCACAGCCCTCTAGGGTAAGAAAACCAGGTCAAGACAAAGTCCAGTTTCAAAAGGGCCTCTGGCCTGTTTATTTTCTGTTGTTGTGAAGTAACAGGATACAATGAACAGCAAATCTTCTTTCTCCACAAAACACTTTCTTTCTCCTCCAAAACACTTCCCTCACTTCACCCTGCTTTAACCCCTTAGCGACCGAGGACGGTTCAGGACCGTCATCGGCATTTTTGCCTTGAGGACCGATGACGGTCCTGAACCGTCCTAACGGTCTGGAGGTACTTACCTGATCGCCGTCGTTCCCCCAGCGGCGATCAGTGTTGCTCCGGTTGTGGGGAGACTGCCTGCAGCCCAGACAGTCTCCCCACACTGAATTAGGACCCCTGTGGCCATGTGATCGCTTAACACAGCGATCACATGGTCACAATAGGTGTCCATGTGTCTGCCTGCAGGGGGACTGCCTGTGCTGACAGGCAGTCTCCCTGCAAGTGTAAAATAAAATAAATAAATAAAGTTAATGGTAATAAAAAAAATAATAATAATTATATATGTGTATATATGATATATAGACATATATTATATCTATATAATATATGTCTATATATCATATATATAATGTCATACTAAGTGTATTTTATATTAATATGTACTTATATTAATATAAAAATACACTTATAATTAAATTACACACGTATATATATAATATATATAATAACTATATATATTGTATATATATATTATTATAAAATATAAATAATAAGTAATTTAAATTAAATAAAAATTTTTTTAAATAATAATAAAAAAATTTAAAAAAATTATATATCTATATGAAATTTTATTCTAACTGTATTTTAAAATTAATATATATATATTTATATCAAAATACCCTTAGAATGAATTTGTATATATATCTATGTATATAAAAATAAATAAAAATAATAAGAAATATACATATGTCCATATACAAAATTACATAAATAATTATATAAATATACACGTAGACTTCAAATATATAAATATGCATATATATTTAAATTCTACTTGCGTATTTATGTAATAGTTTTACATAATTCAGTAATTTTATTGATTGCAATTTAAGGGACCTGCCTGCCAACCCAGGCCGAAATTCCAGAGAATTGAATTTGCTAGCACTGTATTTTACCCTATAACGTTCTACGACAACCTAAAACCTGTACATGGGGGGTACTGTTTTACTCGGGAGACTTCGCTGAACACAAATATTAGTGATTCAAAACAGTAAAACATATCACAGCGATGATATTGTCAGTGAAAGTGACTTTTTTTGCATTTTCACACACAAACAGCACTTTTTACTGATGATATAATTGTTATGATACGTTTTCCAGTTTTTAAACACTAATATTTGTGTTCAGCATAAATCTCTAATCAGTACCCCCAACCTTCTGGGGCTACCTCTTTGAAAGTTACAAGGTCAAATATGGGTCAAATATTTTACGTGAAAATGGCCAGGTTAGTTCACGTTGCCTTTGAAGCATTATGGCCCAGGGTGAGAAATTACCCCATGATGTACCATTTGCAAAGAGACAGCAAAGGTATTGCAAATGGGGTATGTCCAGTCTTTTTTAGTAACCCTTGGTCACAAACACTTTATGGCCAAAATTAAGCGTTCAATTTAGTTTTTACTTTTTCACACACAAACATATATGAATGTACTTTGTAGTGTTTTGACTAAGTATTTACTAAAAGACTGAACCTCTACTATTAACCCTGGGTTGTCTACTTTAAAAAAAATATGTACATGTGGGGTGTTATTCAGAGATTTATGACAGATAATAGTGTTACAATGTCACTATTGATAAATTTAAAAATGTATGTTTTGAAACCGCAATATCCTACTTGTACCTATAGCCCTATAACATGCAAAAAAAAGCAAAAAAGCACGTAAACACTGGGTATTTTTTAAACTCAGGACAAAATTTTTAATCTATTTAGCAGTTTTTTTCATTCGCTTTTGTAGATGAGTAAAAGATTTTTCAAGTAAAAGTCAAAAAATATGTATTTTTTTCAATTTTTCAGCAGATTTTTGTATTTTTTTTAAATTAAAATACATGAGATTATATAAATAATGGTATGTAAAGAAAGCCCCTTTTGTCCTGAAAAAAACAATATATAATTTGTATGGGAACAGTAAATGAGAAGCGGAAAATTACAGCCAAACACAAACACCACAAAAGTGTAAAAATATGCCTGGTCGCAAATGTACAACATCGCAAAAACAGTCCAGTCCTTAAGGGGTTAACTGCAGTTATATAGCTGCTCACAGCCCCTACAGGTGAGGCTAATGACCTCGTTAGGCAGTGAGCCAGAACTCTATGGGAAACCTGGGCTGGACTCATGCACAACCACTCTGACAGTGGGTGGAGAATCGGCCCACCCTGCTCTTCCGAATACTCCACCCCAGGGACCCAAATAACAGAGGAAAAAAAAACTACATTTAAACTTAACTTTCCCTGGGGCTGCATGTGCTTACCCACATGTCAGGATAGTGGCTGTGCAAAAGTCTGGGTGCCAGATATACACCCCTGACCACCATCCCCAACACTCTGTTACATATCCTCCCCCCCAGCTCAGACCTAGTGGGGTGAGCGACCACAGAAAACAAATTTTCTCGCGACAAACTGTCAGCATTTCCATGTTTAGACCCTGGCCTATGTTCAACTGTAAAATGAAATGGTTGTAAACTGAGGAACCACCTTGTCACCCTGGCATTATTATCTTTGTTTTGACTCCCACTCTGACAGTGGGTGGAGAATCGGCCCACCCTGCTCTTCCGAATACTCCACCCCAGGGACCCAAATAACAGAGGAAAAAAAACTACATTTAAACTTAACTTTCCCTGGGGCTGCATGTGTTTACCCACATGTCAGGATAGTGGCTGTGCAAAAGTCTGGGTGCCAGATATACACCCCTGACCACCATCCCCAACACTCTGTTACAATATATAGGAAATAAAAGTGTGTGTATCTATCTATCTATCTATCTATCTATCTATATATATATATATATATACAGGGAGTGCAGAATTATTAGGCAAATGAGTATTTTGACCACATCATCCTCTTTATGCATGTTGTCTGACTCCAAGCTGTATAGGCTCGAAAGCCTACTACCAATTAAGCATATTAGGTGATGTGCATCTCTGTAATGAGAAGGGGTGTGGTCTAATGACATCAACACCCTATATCAGGTGTGCATAATTATTAGGCAACTTCCTTTCCTTTGGCAAAATGGGTCAAAAGAAGGACTTGACAGGCTCAGAAAAGTCAAAAATAGTGAGATATCTTGAAGAGGGATGCAGCACTCTTAAAATTGCAAAGCTTCTGAAGCGTGATCATCGAACAATCAAGCGTTTCATTCAAAATAGTCAACAGGGTCGCAAGAAGCGTGTGGAAAAACCAAGGCGCAAAATAACTGCCCATGAACTGAGAAAAGTCAAGCGTGCAGCTGCCACGATGCCACTTGCCACCAGTTTGGCCATATTTCAGAGCTGCAACATCACTGGAGTGCCCAAAAGCACAAGGTGTGCAATACTCAGAGACATGGCCAAGGTAAGAAAGGCTGAAAGACGACCACCACTGAACAAGACACACAAGCTGAAACGTCAAGACTGGGCCAAGAAATATCTCAAGACTGATTTTTCTAAGGTTTTATGGACTGATGAAATGAGAGTGAGTCTTGATGGGCCAGATGGATGGGCCCGTGGCTGGATTGGTAAAGGGCAGAGAGCTCCAGTCCGACTCAGACGCCAGCAAGGTGGAGGTGGAGTACTGGTTTGGGCTGGTATCATCAAGATGAGCTTGTGGGGCCTTTTCGGGTTGAGGATGGAGTCAAGCTCAACTCCCAGTCCTACTGCCAGTTCCTGAAAGACACCTTCTTCAAGCAGTGGTACAGGAAAAAGTCTGCATCCTTCAAGAAAAACATGATTTTCATGCAGGACAATGCTCCATCACACGCGTCCAAGTACTCCACAGCGTGGCTGGCAAGAAAGGGTATAAAAGAAGAAAAATCTAATGACATGGCCTCCTTGTTCACCTGATCTGAACCCCATTGAGAACCTGTGGTCCATCATCAAATGTGAGATTTACAAGGAGGGAAAACAGTACACCTCTCTGAACAGTGTCTGGGAGGCTGTGGTTGCTGCTGCACGCAATGTTGATGGTGAACAGATCAAAACACTGACAGAATCCATGGATGGCAGGCTTTTGAGTGTCCTTGCAAAGAAAGGTGGCTATATTGGTCACTGATTTGTTTTTGTTTTGTTTTTGAATGTCAGAAATGTATATTTGTGAATGTTGAGATGTTATATTGGTTTCACTGGTAATAATAAATAATTGAAATGGGTATATATTTGTTTTTTGTTAAGTTGCCTAATAATTATGCACAGTAATAGTCACCTGCACACACAGATATCCCCCTAACATAGCTATAACTAAAAACAAACTAAAAACTACTTCCAAAAATATTCAGCTTTGATATTAATGAGTTTTTTGGGTTCATTGAGAACATGGTTGTTGTTCAATAATAAAATTAATCCTCAAAAATACAACTTGCCTAATAATTCTGCACTCCCTGTATATATAGAAGGCGTATGCCTGTAGTTGTGGGAGGGATTTAGGCCTATATAAACCCAGCAAACCCCAGGCTTACCTGTCTTCATCGATTCCGGAAATTCTCTTCGCTTCCGGTTCATGCAGACCTCTGACGTAATTTTACAGCGACGTGCCTAAACGACGATCAGGAACTTCCACGCAAATTCGTGAGTAAAAAAAACACGAACGGCAATCGACAAGCCAGCATAACTAAGTCTCAAAAATTCGAATTCATGTAACCTTTCGAATCTAATCATCCGGCAAAACGTTCGCAAGAACATTCACATAATACATTGCATAGAAACAAGTTCTAACACCATTCATTTGTATGTTCATTGATTCAAAACCTGCATTCGGTTCGGCTAAATCTTACGCATTAAATGGCTCATGGCAATTTCTCAGCTTGAATATCTCGTGCAGTACTGAGCTCAGCAAGTATACAATTGGAGCAAGTTTTAAAAAAACAAATGATTCTCACTGAAATTAAGTTATATTTGGTACAGTGTAACATGTCCTAAAGAATAAAATAACCAGAGTTAAGGTTTGTGTTCCCACGGCTTTTCCGGGGTGCCTTTGCAATATATGCGAATATACGTTGGTGGCATAGCTGGATCGAAAGTGTGCTGCCTGACCTAGTTCCCGTGTTTGATTGGCATTCCTGGAGAGTTGGGAACCCTCAGTCTTTCGAGGCTGCGGTGCCTGGGTTCTCCAGGAAGCCTAGTGAATACACAATGATCTCTGTTTTGAGTACACAGATAACTCGTATTCTTCTAAGGCACTGTTTTCCTCTGTAGATGTAATACTATGTACTGTCTTGCTAGATGCTCAACTCTATCAGCACAGCATATTCAGCAATCTAAGCAGGCTGCATGCAATCGGCTGACATATCTTTACAGACACTTCCAATTTGAATAGCCACACTCATATGGATTTCATACTTCCCAAAACTAAGATAGAGTCTTAAAACTAAGATATCATGGAGTGGCTTATACATTGTATATATGCATTTCGTATATCAGCTCAAGTCGTTGCTAACGTATCAAGTCAAGGAGTTTCCTGGTAAATTATTCTCCTTTCATTCTAGGGATAAAAAACGCATGGAAAAAAGTTTGGTATCAATTACGCTGAGTTACACAAATACGGTTCGGTTAGTAATAATCCGTTCAAGATTTCTTTCTCTCCTTCTTCCTTCTTTCACTCCGTTAAACTAATAAATACAGTATCAACAACAGGTTCATAAATATTCAGAACCAGAGACAAGTCACAAATCATATTAATATAAGCACAATTAATCACATAATTTATACATATTAAAAAAAAACAAAAAACTAATCAGTCTACTACCTACAGGGAGTGCAGAACTATTAGGCAAGTTGTATTTGTGAGGATTAATTTTATTATTGAACAACAACCATGTTCTCAATGAACCCAAAAAACTCATTAATATCAAAGCTGAATATTTTTGGAAGTAGTTTTTAGTTTGTTTTTAGTTTTAGCTATGTTAGGGGGATATCTGTGTGTGCAGGTGACTATTACTGTGCATAATTATTAGGCAACTTAACAAAAAACAAATATATACCCATTTCAATTATTTATTATTACCAGTGAAACCAATATAACATCTCAACATTCACAAATATACATTTCTGACATTCAAAAACAAAACAAAAACAAATCAGTGACCAATATAGCCACCTTTCTTTGCAAGGACACTCAAAAGCCTGCCATCCATGGATTCTGTCAGTGTTTTGATCTGTTCACCATCAACATTGCGTGCAGCAGCAACCACAGCCTCCCAGACACTGTTCAGAGAGGTGTACTGTTTTCCCTCCTTGTAAATCTCACATTTGATGATGGACCACAGGTTCTCAATGGGGTTCAGATCAGGTGAACAAGGAGGCCATGTCATTAGATTTTCTTCTTTTATACCCTTTCTTGCCAGCCACGCTGTGGAGTACTTGGACGCGTGTGATGGAGCATTGTCCTGCATGAAAATCATGTTTTTCTTGAAGGATGCAGACTTCTTCCTGTACCACTGCTTGAAGAAGGTGTCTTCCAGGAACTGGCAGTAGGACTGGGAGTTGAGCTTGACTCCATCCTCAACCCGAAAAGGCCCCACAAGCTCATCTTGATGATACCAGCCCAAACCAGTACTCCACCTCCACCTTGCTGGCGTCTGAGTCGACTGGAGCTCTCTGCCCTTTACCAATCCAGCCACGGGCCCATCCATCTGGCCCACCAAGACTCACTCTCATTTCATCAGTCCATAAAACCTTAGAAAAATCAGTCTTGAGATATTTCTTGGCCCAGTCTTGACGTTTCAGCTTGTGTGTCTTGTTCAGTGGTGGTCGTCTTTCAGCCTTTCTTACCTTGGCCATGTCTCTGAGTATTGCACACCTTGTGCTTTTGGGCACTCCAGTGATGTTGCAGCTCTGAAATATGGCCAAACTGGTGGCAAGTGGCATCGTGGCAGCTGCACGCTTGACTTTTCTCAGTTCATGGGCAGTTATTTTGCGCCTTGGTTTTTCCACACGCTTCTTGCGACCCTGTTGACTATTTTGAATGAAACGCTTGATTGTTCGATGATCATGCTTCAGAAGCTTTGCAATTTTAAGAGTGCTGCATCCCTCTGCAAGATATCTCACTATTTTTGACTTTTCTGAGCCTGTCAAGTCCTTCTTTGACCCATTTTGCCAAAGGAAAGGAAGTTGCCTAATAATTATGCACACCTGATATAGGGTGTTGATGTCATTAGACCACACCCCTTCTCATTACAGAGATGCACATCACCTAATATGCTTAATTGGTAGTAGGCTTCGAGCCTATACAGCTTGGAGTAAGACAACATGCATAAAGAGGATGATGTGGTCAAAATACTCATTTGCCTAATAATTCTGCACTCCCTGTATTTGTTTTCTCTCTTTTCTCTCCCCCATCCCTCCTCCTGTGTACATTCTCTGCAAACTAGGGGCGTCAGCCTGAGTAAAGCCACCCGGTTTTACAGACACTTTAGATCCTTAGGTCATTTCAAGTACTGGGCACAAATTCTCGTACAGGTAAGGATAATGAGCAATTCAAACAATACGTTCAGTCTCCCATTTATTTTCTGTTCCAGTTTAGTCGTAGCTGGCTGTCAGG